ATTACAACAAAGGCAGTTATTGGGGCTGAATGGTGGGTACGTGGGTGCTCAGGCACAGTAGTCCCCTTCCTTATCCAGAAAAAACGGTTTCAAGCTCCCCCCCCCCCCCCCGTGCATGCCTCAAACTGCAGGGAGTACTCACCCCTACTCATGCGTACCTATGACAAAACTTAGGGACTCCGGTGGGGGGGGGCGCTCAGCGGTTGAGGGGCCACCTTCGGCTCAGGGCGCAATCCCAGGGTCCCGGGTTCGAGTCCCGCACCGGGCTCTCCACGGGGAGCCCGCTTCTCCCTGTGCCCACGTCTCTGTGTCTCTCATGAATAAATAAATAAGATACTTAAAAAAAAAAAACAACTTAGTTTGCAAAATAGGCGCAGTAAGAGATTAACAGTAAAAAGTAGTAATAGGGCAGCCCCGGTTTAGCGCCGCCTGCAGCCCAGGGCGTGATCCTGGAGCCCCTGGATCGAGTCCCACGTCGGGCTCCCTGCATGGAGCCTGCTTCTCCCTCTGCCTGTGTCTCTGCCTCTCTCTCTCTCTCTCATGAATAAATAAATAAAATCTTAAAAAAAAACTAGTAATAAAAGAGAACAGAACACGCTGTAATGAAAGTCACGCAAACGTGGCCTCTGTCTCTCCATATACCTGACTCCTGAACGCGCCCTTCCGCCCGCGATGCTCTGAGAGGACAAAGTTACCACGTGATGGGGCGACGTGAGTGACGCGACGTGACGTGACGCGCAGGACGCAGGCGCGTGAGGCAGCTTGAAGCTCCTGCTGTGACCTTCCGGTGACTCCTGAGGAGGGGCGCCCCCGTCAGTCAGCTGCTGCGGACGGGGGCGACGGAAGCTTCCAGAGCCCCCGCGGCGGAGGGGTGCGGGGGCTGCTGTGCCCGGCTCTCTACTCTGGGTATGTTTGAAATTTTCAAAAATAAGAACTTAAAGGGAAGAGGTAAAAAAAAAAAAAAAAAAAATCTAAGAAATGAGCAGGGGCGCCTGGGGGGCTCGGTGTGTTGGCAGCTTCCTTCAGCTGGGGGCGCGGCCCGGGTCGCGTCAGGTCAGGGTCGGTCTGCACGGCTCTGCTTGGCGCTCGCTCTCTCGCTCTCTTTTTTTAAAAAAAGTTTTTAAAGAAGAAATTAATAAAGTAGGACTTCGTGGGAAGCACGTGGACTGGGAGTCCTGAGTTCGGGTCACGGCGCGGGCTGCTCCACTAACCGGCCCGGCCCGGCCCGTGTGAAGCGGACAGGTCCCTTGTGGGGCCTGTGGGAGGACGGGTTGCCGCGGTCCCTTCCAGGTGAGGCTGTCAGGGATGCGGCGACCTGACCCGAGGAAGGGAGCGGAGCAACGGCCCTGAGGACTCGGCGCTTCCCAAAGTCTTGAGCTTGCGGTGGAGACGCTGGTGGTGAGTTGCGGCCCAGGGCGCGCTGGGTCCCCTCCTGAGCCCCTCGACTAGCTTGCAAGCAGCGAGGTAAACTGCCTGGAAACGTCTTCGGAACGTTCTGGATTAGGAAGTGCCTGCCGACCCGACGACCCAAGGAGGCTTGCTAAGCAGCTGCGGCTTCTTAAGTCGTCAGGGAAGTGTGATTTACACGTCTGTATTACAAAAGGGCTTATTTTCAGCCTTTCCAAAAAAACAGAAAGAGGGAAGCGTGCCTAATAAGGCGGCTGGCATCTGAGGCAGAAGTTGGCTCTTCCTTATCCTCTCCTTTCCTCTTCTGAGCCCGCACCTGCGGGTATATGCCCTGCAAACGTGCGCCTGAAGCCCTCTGTAGGATTGGAAAGAAAGAGCAGGGGTGGAGGAAACCAGTACCTACCACCTCAAGGGGCGAAGAAACGACAGAAGCGCCGTTTTCGTCTCCCCACCCCGGCCGGACCCTGCTGCCACGAAGTGTATTGTTCACGTGGGACTGGCTGCCCAGTGCCACAAAGGAAACCCTTATGAGAGAGAGCTCCTTGAGATGCCCTTGGAAACAGCGTCCCAGAGATCTCTGTGCCCTTGCCCTGAAGAATGAAGAAAGCTTGCCCTGCCACCGTTTGTAGAGCATCATCCATCGTGAAGGGAAGGGGCAACTCACACGCCAGTTCCCTCCTTGGCACCCCACCCTGGGCTCCCAACTAAAACCTCAGCTTCTCTCCCTCAGCCTATCACAAGGGCCTGCGAACAGCCTTCGGCCTGCAGGGTGGTCTTCCACCTTGGTCCCCTTTGCTTTAGGCCTGAACCTCTTGGCCTCTCAGACTCTGCATCTCTCCAGTCTCCCCAGACCTCTTTTGTTAGTCGGGGGCACTCCCAAACCCTGCAGGGACGGCTGTGGGAAGTGCAGCCCCAGGTAGTGGATACCCCAGCCTGAGGTGGGGAGGAGATAGAGCAGCCCCAGGAGGGGTGAGGGGATGTGGTCCCCAAGTCTTGTCCACCAGAGTCATCAATCGAGGCAGCTCAGCACATAGTGCGGAGTCAGAAGCCAACGAGGATCCTGAAAGGCAGAGAGAGCCTCAGGTAGCCAGCAGAAGGTGAACCGGGTCATTTCCGGAGATGAAGCATAAGTGCCTGAGGTAGCTTTACACCTCCCCCCGCCCCCCGCCCCCCCACACAAAGTTTAGTCAACACAAGTAGCGCAGGGATAAATTCTCCTGAGAAACTACCTAACCTCTTTCAGATTAAGCTGCTGTGTTAGTTTGGGTGTATTTGGTTGGAACAGAATGCTTGGCTCACCGCGGTTTAAGCAAGAAAGGCGTTTTAATATCTCCGGGAACGAGAAGCTTGAAGTCGAATCCTGTCTGCCGCAGAACAGCAAGAAGATGTCAGGATGCTGGACTGCTGTCTCTACGGTTCTCCTGGCCTTTCTCTCGTGGTCATAAGATGGTTGTCATAGCTCCAAGCATCACATTTTCAAGCGCTATCACCCAAGACAAACAGGAAGGGGAGAGGCAGATCTCTCCGTCCACTATACTCTGTTGTCAGAGCAAACAAATCCTTCTTCTGAGTCCCCAGCAGACTGAGTCCCATACCTGCCTGTAGGCAAATCACAGGCGAAGAGAAGCGGTGTGACAGACTTGGCTTAGACCACGTTCAAAGTCTGGACCTTTCTTCCCTGAGCAAATGCTGCCCTTTGACACCTGAACAAAATTTGAATCATTCGCATGAAGAATTGGGTGGGGGTAGGAAACGGAACACACAGGGTCTATCACTACTGAGGTCCTCTTTGTCTCCCTTGTTTAAACCTCCTCCCACCTCCCCAGTGCAAACCACTTTTATCATTCCAGACTTTACATATATACACACACAACACACTGTAGTAGACAGTAGATTTGGGGTATTTAATAGACTTAGGGTAGCGCTCACGCATGTGTGTGATAAACATGCCATCCTACTTAGCATCTTCTTGCAATTTGCTTCGCCACTCAACAATATATCTCAGTGATCCATCCATATCAATACTTATTGATCCATTCTATTTTTGCAACAGCTGTATAGTGTTTCCTAGTGTGGACATATCACAGTTTATTCAGGTACTTCCCTACTGATAGCCTCTTGGTTGTTTTTAGAATAGCTGCTAAGCACTTCTGTGGATAAATGCACAGGATGTTCTCCCGTTGCCCCTCCAGATCCATCTTCCTCTGCCCTGTGTTCAGATTGCTGATCACCATAAATAGCATGAGCCAGCTCTCTTGCTCTCTGGCGTCTGGTTGGGTGAAGCCTCTGTGAGTGGCAGGAAATCCGAGAATCTCAGAGAAGTTAAGAGTGTTATCCCCCTCGTTCACTTCCTCCCAAGCTGCAGGTTAGGTTAGCATTTGTTCCTCTACTGAGGCCACAGCTCCTGTCCAGGGGATGCACATCCCTACAGCTAAAGTTCTTAGGGGGCTCCAGTGTCCGCTCGTGTCCCCCTGCTACTTCAGGCCCAACAGTGGTAGCATTTCTCCCTGCTGCTGACAGTCCCCCTCCAGGAGCTGTCTCCTGGATTCTGATTGAGCTGATGACGTTCATTTAAAAGAACAAGAACCATGAAGACCCAAACTTTTCCGTGCATGGCTCCATTTGTCTACTAATTTGCCTCACTATTCCTCCTAGTGTTGCCCCTTCCCAGCTTTTACTTTCATCTCCTCTTTATCACTTGGTCTCTGTGTAAGCAGCATCCCAGATGACCCCCACCCCAATCCACCCAGCTCCTGGACTCGACTCTGCATGTTACGCTATGAGGACACTGGGTCCTCATCCTGACTGACCTGTCCTCATATGGGGAACCCACTAGGTTTTTAATAGGCAGCTGCTTAATGGGAGCTAGAAAACATTCTCCATTCTCACAAAGCAGGACCAGGAATGTGCATGTGGTCTCCAACTACAGGAATGTTTCCCCAGAGACATGAGAAGAGCCCAAAGGCTCCCTCTCACCTCTCTCAGCTCCCTTACATTCACTTCTTGCTTCCTCTTCTTTTTTTTTTTTTTTTTTAAGATTTATTTATTTATTTGAGAGAGAGCAGGGGAAGGGGGCTGAGGGAGAGGATCTCAGCTCTTGGGTGGTAGAGTCAGAATTTGAACCTTAAGTTACTAGACTTCACAGCCCCTATTCATTTGCAAGGAACTCTGGAAATGTGTTGACTAGTTACTAAACTCATCTCAGGGCCTAAAGTAGAGAAATTCGTTCATGTGGAGTTTAGGAGGAAGCATGAGGTAAGCCTGGGTGGCTCAGTCAGTTAAGCATCCAACTCTAGGTTTTGGCTCAGGTCGTGATCTCATGGGTCTCTTAACCAGAAGAGTTCTGACTCAACCACCCAACAGCTGAGAAGCCTCGTGCAAGTTATTTTTCTGTTTTTGCCTCCATTTCCTCATTGTAAAGTTGAAATTGTAGTATTACTTACCTCTTAAGTTGTTTTAAAGATACATTAGATGTATCTAAATATATATCTCAAAGGTCTTAACATAAAGCCTAGTCTGGGGAGAGTCCTCTCATACGTGGTAATAGATATTATTCACTCAACACTATATAAATTGCTGTGGAAGTAAAAGCCATGGTCCGATCCTCAGAGAGCCTGCAGTCTACACTGGAAGATGAGAAGAACATTTATGAACAACACAGGTGACCCTATATTTTTGAGGAGCAAGTTATATGGCATGAGTTCTAGGGCAACAGTATTGGGATGGTTCTTTCGCATAGCTGACCTTTCATGTTGCCGGACAGGTTCCTGAGGGTAAACACCAGGCATTAATGCCTCTTGCATGCCCAGGGCTTAGCACACAGTAGACAATCGAACAGTCTGTCTAAATACCCAAGGAATACTTGGATCACACATTAGAACAAGCACCTCATTCTTTACAAAGCACTTTGAAACTGAAGCATCATTTCATTTCCATAACAACCCTGTATGATAATTACTATTGTTATCATCTGAATTTTCCAAAATAAGGAAACTGTCTCAAAAAGCTTAGCACTTTAAGTCCCAAAGGCATTTTATAGTAGGAATGGTCTGGGACATAAGACCTTTGACCATAAATATGGAGCTTCCTCCTACAAAGGGCCATACAAGCTCATAAGCTAAAAAAAAAAAAAATCTATCCTCTGCCAAATGTCTTTTTCTGCCTCCAGTATGCTCTCTTTCTAGCTGATGCTGCTGGTTCCATCCATCTTCCTTTAGCTAAAAGGAATCCAGTTCATTAGGATTTCTTTTCAGGGAGGCAGAGACTCTACTGTTTATCCAAGCCCCTAACAGACATATAAATGCACAATATAATCATTAAACTCTGAAATACATGACACAGTCATAACCACACACAAGCTGGGAAAAAAGCTCATTACCTCCAGTGGGAGATACTGAACATGCTTAGTACTCTCTCTTTACAGGGTCAGGGCAGAATGTTAGCTCTCTGGTTAGGAGAAATGTTTTCTTTTGCCCAGAAATTCTTCTAAAAGCCATTATGTTATTGATAAATCCTAGGTTATTTGTATGCTTCTGAATGCATTGGAAAGCAATGTTTTAAAAAAAATTTTGTTTTATCATGGAAAACACTGCACACCCTTTGGGAAAGGAAATCAACCAAAATGAAGTGTGTAGGGGTGCCTGTGTGGCTCAGTCTGTTAAATGTCTTACTCTTAATCCGGTTCAGGTCATGATCTCAGGGTGGTGAGATTGAGCCCCACATTGGACTCTGCACTGGGCATGGAGCCTTCCTGAGATTCTCTCTCTCTCTCTCTCTCTCTCTCTCTCTCTCTCTCACTCACCCCACACCCCACCCCCAACTTGTGCACATATATGCAGGCATAGTCTCTCAAAAAAAAAAAAAGAAAAGAAAAAAAAAGAAATTAAATGTGTAAAGTAAAAAGTGAAAATGCTCAAGAAAATGAGAAGACAACCACAGACTGGGAGAAAAGTTTTGTGAAAGCCATACCTAATATAGAACTGTTGTCCAAAACACACAAAGAACTCTTAAAACTCAACAATAAAATGAACAACTCGATTTAAAAATGGGCAAAAGACCTGAACAGACAACTCACCAAAGAAGATAAGATGGAAAATAAGCATATAAAAAGATGTTCAACATCATAAGTCACTGGGGAATTGCAAATTAAAACAATAATGAGATACCACTATACACCTATTAGAATGGTCAGATCTAAAATGCTAACAGCACCAAGTACTGGCAGGGATCTGGAGCATGGAATGGAATGAAAATGGAAACTCTCATTTGTTGCTGATGAGAATGCAAAATGGTACAGCCACTTTGGAAGACAGTTTGGCAGCTTCCTACAAAACTATACTCTTACCATACAACTCAGCAATTGTGCTTCTTGGTATTTACCCAAATGAGCTGAAAACATGTCCACACAAAAACCTGCACATGGATGTTTATAGCAACTTTATTCACTTGGAAGCAAACCAAGATGTCCTTGCCAAAACTTACAAGCAACCAAGATACCCTTCCTATGTGGGTTCACTGTAGCAAATGTAACACTCTGGTGGGGGATATTGATAGTAAAGGAGGCTGGAGAGGGGTGGGGCTGGGGATATATGGGAAATCCTTGTACCTTCCCTGCAGTTTTGCTGTTAACCTAAAACTGCTCTAAAAGTCTGTATTTTTCAGAGTGAACGTGATTTCCCCTCAGCTTCCCATGCACAATCCCACTCCCTATACGCAGTTGTTGTCAAATGTTTATTATATTTTCTTCCAGTCTTTTTTCTCACACACACATAACGTATATGAATATGTAAGGCCTTTTTTAAAGGTCAGCACAAGGTCTGTATATACAATAACAGTGTCTTGTTATAATAGTGGAAATACTTCAAAGTACCTAGTTGTTCAAAATGGGGAATAGTTAAGTAAACTGTAACAAGTTGTTAACTTGTTATACACGTTGAACAACTACATAATGGAAACTACTTTGGACTCTAAAGAATCTAGAGAAGGAGGAGGAACGGCACCTCTAGAGAAGAGTAGAGGTGATGGTGGTAGTGGAGGTAACAGTGGCAGTAACAGTCATAGCTGTTGTAATAGCAGCAGTAGTAAGAATAAAGTAGTAGTAGCAGTAGTTAGAGTAAATAGTGGTGGAGTAAACTAGTAGTAGCAGCAGTAGCAGTAGTAGTAGTCATAGTAACCATAATAGTAATAAAGTAGTAGTAGTAGTAGTACTAGTAGTATTACAGTCAGAACCGGATTTAAATTCCTGTCTTCCGGGATCCCTGGGTGCCGCAGCGGTTTAGCACTTGCCTTTGGCCCAGGGCGCGATCCTGGAGACCCGGGATCGAATCCCACATTGGGCTCCCGGTGCATGGAGCCTGCTTCTCCCTCTGCCTGTGTCTCTGGCTCTCTCTCTCTCTCTCTCTCTCTCTCTCTGTGTGTGTGTGAGACTATCATAAATAAATAAAAAAAAATTAAATTCCTGTCTTCCTATTTAAACAATTACCAAGCACTTGCCAAACCTTAATTTTTTTTATCTGTACCACAAAAATACTAGTGCTTACTACTAAATCAATTAAATTGAGAGAATGTATGTAAAGTCCTCAACAAAGTGTCTGGCACCTAATAGATGCCACAGTCCCTGCTCTAGGGTAGACCCTTTTCTTGTCTAGCACAAAGTCAGCAGTAAAATAAATGCTAGCTGAGTTGAACTGGAGTAGAATGCTATAACTTTTTAAAATCAATATTGTGGGATCCCTGGGTGGCGCAGCGGTTTAGTGCCTGCCTTTGGCCCGGGGCACGATCCTGGAGACCCGGGATCGAATCCCACGTCGGGCTCCCTGCATGGAGCCTGCTTCTCCCTCTGCCTGTGTCTCTGCCTCTCTCTCTCTCTCTCTGTGACTATCATGAATAAATAAATAAAATCTTTAAAAAAAATAAAATAAAATCAATATTGTATTTAGACACATGATGTGAGGTTTGGGATATCAAGAAAGACAAGATTTAACAGAGGGAATGAGGCACTGACACAACATAGAATGGTCTGGGAGTTGAAGTCAGGGAAGCCTATGCTCTCCTGCACAAAGTGTAAGGACCATCACAGTGATCTGGATGCCAGAAGCTGCAGCAAGACTGCCCATCTCCCCTGATAATGAACTTTTCTCTGTGCTGCTATCATGGCTCTCTGTTGACTCTCTGAGAGAGAAAAAAAAAACAAACCTGTGCCCAAAAAAAAAGGCAGAAAAGTAAGTTCTGATAAAGGAGAAGGAAGGAGGGATACCTGGGTGGCTCAGTGGTTGAGTGTTTGCCTTCAGCTCAGGGCGTGATCCCTGGGTCCTGGGATCAAGTCCCACGTCGGGCTCCCTGCATGGAGCCTGCTTCTCCCTCTATGTCTCTGCCTCTCTCTCTCTGTCTCTCATAAATAAATAAAATCTTTAAAAAAAGAGAGAGAAGGAAAGAGGAAAGTCATTGCTGAACCTATAGAACACTGTAGGAACATTCTTTAAAAAGAAAAACAACTCTAATTTTATATTACAAATATGTGCCCATTGTTGAGGAGAAAATCATCCACAATCTTACCAGCAAGAGGAAGCTCCTGTTAAAACCTTGGTCTTCCCTCCTTCTCATGAATCTTCTCCTATGCTGCATACATATATCATACACATATGTGTAAAATAGTATATATGTATGTGTTTTCTATATATGATATCCTCTCATCATGTCAATAAAAAGTCACCCATGACATCAGTTTTAATGGCTGAATAGAATTCCAGTGTCTGGCTAAACCATACTTTATGTAACCAGTCATCCATTGTCAGATATTTGGGTCATTTCCAAAATCTTGCTATTATAAACAGAGCTGCCAGGAACTTCCTTAGAGCCATACAGTGAACTTCTGATCCTCTTTCACAGAAGGATGAACGAGAACAATGGGCTATTTGCAAAAGTTGACTTCAACTCCAAACCACAATCCCCCTTCCCCACCCCTGGTGATACCCAGTCCTCTGGAGTCCAGCTGGAGGAATCCACGGTCAGGACCTTAGATTCCTGAGGATTTGCCCCACTCCCAGAAAGAGTGTCTGAGACTTTCTGAATGCACACAATTAGATTTGAGGGCCCTGAAACCAGGCCAGCTCTAGCCCAAACTGGGAAGCAGATGAAAGAAATCTTGGCTCCCTTTCAACTCCTTCTTCACTGTTTCCTTTCCCTAGCACTGTCCAGCCCTCCCAAGAGGCAACTACCCAGCATCCCAAGGCCCTGGGTCCAACTCTCCGCATCTGATCCCACTAATTTCTACAGTTGTGACGACAGCCAGACCACACCTTCTGCTAACGTACACTCTTCAAGAAGCTCCATTTAACATCTTGAGTCAACCCGACATGCTTTGAAGTAAACACTGCAGGAAGGCCCAGGTGAGTAAGACTTATCCCTGCCCTCGGGGAGCTTATAGTCTATAGTCTACTTCGGTTTCCTAGGGATGCCATAACAAGTGACACAAACTGGGTGGCTTGAAACAACAGAAATGTATTGTCTTACAGTTCTGGAGGCTACCAGTCAGAAATCAAGGTTTCAACAGGGCTGTGCTCCCTCTGATGGTTCTAGGAGAGATTCCATTGTTGCCTCTTCCCCATGTCTCATGGTTGCCAGTAATCCTTGGTGTTCCTTGGCTTACAGCTATACCTTTGCAATCTCTGCCTCTCTCTACCCATGGCCTTCTTCCCTGCACATCTGGTCTCTACGTCCAAATTTCCTTCTTCTTATGGAACACCAGTCACACTGGATTTAAGGCTTACCCTAATTCCATATGACCTCATGTTGACTAATTACATCTGCAAAGACCCTAATTCCAAATATGGTCACATTCTGTGGTTTCAGATGGACACGAATTTTGGGGGGCATCCTACTCACCCCAATTTGTGCTCTCATAGAGACAACGATGAATATAAAAAATCAGGAGCACCTGGATGACTCAGTGGTTGAGTATCTGCCTTTGGCTCAGGTCGTGATCCTGGGGTCCTGGGACCAAGTCCCACTTCAGGCTCCCTGCAGGGAGCCCTCTTCTCCCTCTGCCTGTGTGCCTCTCTCTGTGTGTCTCTCATGAACAAATAAAATCTTAAAAGAAAAAATATATATATGTATATGTTTATGTGTATGTGTGTGTGTGTATATATACCATATATACAGTGTGTATCTATATATATATATATGTATGTACCAAAACTGTAGGCATCAAATTACTATCATTGCTTTAAATGGACCAAGAGAGCTAAAGTATGGGGATATGGAGTATGCCCTGCAAGTATCTCCAAGTCGCCATCTTGTACCTCCTAGTCTGGCTATGCCTATGAGCCAGCCTTGCTGCGAGCTCCCAAGGGACCCTCTAAAACTGCCCGTGGAATAAGGAATACTTGAATTCCTTCCAGTGCTGCTCACAAGCCCGTTTTTTTCTGACCATAAGTTCCAGAGACCGTTGTGGCAGGGAAAAGATAGAATGTAATGAATATATAAAGGCAAACCTGCAACACCTTTTCCCTGAATTTGCTGTAGTTTTGGTACATTTGTCCCCTTTTCCTCTGCTATCTCAGGTTTAAAAAGTGGGAGGAGGGCAGCCCGGGTGGCTCAGTGGCTTAGTGCCACCTTTGGCCTGGGGCGTGATCCTGGAGACCCGGGATCAAGTCCTACGTCGAGCTCCATGCATGGAGCCTGCCTCTCCTTCTGCCTGTGTCTCTGCCCCCCCCCTCTCTGTCTCTATCATGAATAAGTGGATGGGATCTTTAAAAAATAATAATAAATAAATAAAAAGTGGGAGGAGGTACCTGAAGCAGCACTGGGCTCTTTGAACCCAGGAGATTGCTGGGTCCTGCCCTTGCTCTGTACTGCTAGCACAGCCGGGCTGCAGACTCCTGATGAGACAGTTAGCCAGGAGCCTTTCTCACCAAGACCTTGGGCAGCAGTCTCTGCCTTTTCAGAGCTGGTCTTCAGCCTTGCAAGCACAGGGCACAGGCTGGAATTTAAGAGCCACCCATCCCAACCCATCCCTTGGGTGTGAGAAGCCCACAGGGTTCTCTTCAGAGGCATTTGCTCCACAGCTAAATCCTCCCCTTAGACAACTTACAGGGTGACTATTGTTTCTCTACTGGTTTGTACAGATGACAGGAGCAACTCATAGCAAGTGTTTTCATGGTCCATACCTCACCATGTCCCCACACGTCCAGTGGAGACTCTGACCCTGTCCCCAGGCTGTCTTCTGTAGGCACTTTTCACTCTTGGCATGAGAGTTTTGTGTGGAAGTGCAGGAGAGGTCAGCCTTTGGGAGCAACCCTCAAGCAATGAATAACAGGAGATGGTGAAAAATGCCCCAGATTTCTTGCACTTGGGAGGAGGGGGCATAACTCTGACTTTTGCTTTCTGAGGTCTCCCAGAGGTCCCAGCAGGACTGGGCCCTGGTTGCCCACAATGCAGTCTGTTTATTAGAGTATCGTGGGTTATCTCCCTTCCCTACTTCCCTCCCTGGGCTTCCTGGCATCTCATCCCAAACAAACTACTTGCACTCAAATCAATGTTTCCAGGCTGGTTTCGGGACACTCAGGACACACGGTTGCATTAGCATGCATTTCTCTGTTGGGTAACGAGTTCCCCACAGAGAGGCACCAAATCTCACTCTTCTGAGCACTCATTTGGTCCTTGCCAAATGTTTTATATGTATTACCTCATCTCAATAGAGTCCAGCACTATCATTATTCCCATTTTACATATTAGGAAAATGAAGCTCAGAAAGCTTAAGTCGCTTGTCCTAAGTCATGCAATCTAGAAGGAGCTGAGATTTGAACCAAGGCAGCCTCTCTCTGTAGCCTACACCATTGATGATTGCCATTGGGAATGGTCTTCAGTAAATGTTTGTGGAAGAAACAAAGATGCTAGCAAGCAAACCTGACAAGAATTGGTACAAAGTACTCATTATTTGGATGCTGGAGATAGGGCTCAAGACCACTTAATTTCTTGAACATATTTAAGACCCAGTAGAGACAGAGGCCATTAGAGTGTCCTTTCCCAAATTTTCATGAGTTTTTTTTTTCTATTCATTTATTGATTCAAGAAGCATTTATTTATTCCTACTGTGTCCAAGACACTGGACTAGGCCCTGTGCAGGCTACAGAGAAATGTAATGTAAATTCAAGGAGGTTTTTTTGGTCCAACATCTTAGTGAGCCTGCAATGAGAGCAGCTGCTCTCTGAGCTTCACTATGCTGCAGGGACATCAAGAAAAAAGATCCTGGAAAGTCGCCCAAAAAAGACAAAGACCCAGTGAACAAATCTGGGGGCAAGGCCAAAAAGAAATGGTCCAAAGGCAAAGTTCGGGACAAGCTCAATGACCTGGTCTTGTTTGACAAAGTGACATATGACAAACTCCGTAAGGAAGTTCCCAACTCTAAGCTTATAAGCCCAGCTGCTGCCTCTGAGAGGCTAAAGATTCGGGGTTCCCTGGCCAGGGCAGCCCTTGAGGAGCTCCTTGGTAAAGGATTTATTGAACTGGCTTCAAAGCACAGAGCTCAAATCATTTACCCCAGAAACACCCAAGAGGGGAGCTGCCCCAGCTGCTGATGAAGATGATGCATACACAGGTCCTACCAGCTGTATGCTTTGGAAAATGAAACGTTATTAAATCAAAAATAAATAAAGCAAATTCAAGGAGTTTATAATCTGCTGGGGGTGGAGGAGACAAAAATAAGGCAGAAGTAGTTGAAAAGATAAATTTTAAGACTAGAGCCATCAGGGATGGTGAACGGCATGGCAAAGACACGCGAGCCAAGCCACAATGCAAGGGGATTCCAGACAATTTGCTCCATCTTTCTGCCCTGCCCCCTCCTCCAAGTCAAAGCAAATTGGGGAGGAAAAGGTAATGTTTACCAGGGGCAAAACCAAGGTTTAAGAGACAACTGCTGAGGATTATAGATACATGGTCATTTGCAACTGTTTTTCAAGCTAAGACACGCATAAAGGAATACAAATCACATACTTAAAGAGGTCACCTTTCCTTCAGGTCTCAAGATTGAGTAAGTGTGACCGCCATGGCTCCTGCTCCAAAAACTTGGCACCAGAGGACACTGTGTAACCGCCAGCCCTCACTGTTGTGCTTGGATCACACTGCCTGGAGTCCAGGAGTCAGACTTTGGGGATTGAAGATATTTCCCTGAAGGCTTGGCAGCGGAGACCTCATTTACAGCTCCTGTTCTGGGAGAGTATTGCTTCTTTACTCACCTTCAACTTCTCCCCAGTGAGGGAGTGGGCAGGCCAGATTGGCACACAGGATGAGAAATGGAAAGAGCCTAGCCACGCACTCTGCACAATTTGGTAGAGATCAGGCATGGAAAGCCTTGAAGACTCTGGGCTACTGTGGATAGAACTGGCTCAAAAGAACCTCACCCTTGGTGGCTGTGTCCAGACCTAAGAGGCCCCACTATCATCCAACTACCCTCAAATTAGCATACTAAGTAAAAGCAATGTCTGCTATGCAAACACAACTTCAAGACCTACCACCAAGCCTCAACCAGTAGCTGCCCCCAGGCCTCTTCCAAATAGAAATCCTACAGGCACCATTCTTGCCAGCTCACATGGGGCAACCAGAGTTTCACAGCCATGGCTATTGGAAGTCAAAGGCTGGATCCAGGTTCCAGGAGTTTCCAGGGAATTTTGCCATTTACTCAGCAACAGTCTGAAGCCCAACTACCACCAGCAGTTGTTGAAATGACACTTGTGTAGTCAGTGAGCCCATGTGGGGATCATATCATGGCTTTCCCCACACTCTGCCACAGATCAGGCGAGTGTAGGTAGGGCTATTGGTGTGGGTGGGGCTGTGCGTACCAGGCGCTGAGAGCAGAAGCATAAATGCTTCCCCATTTCCTCTTCCTCACCTCCCACTGTTCCTCAGATGCATTTCATAAAGCTGCTCAGAAGGTGGCCAATTCAGTAACACATTGTTTTATTGGTTCTTCCTCCTTCCCTGCTTCACTCTCAAATAGACCACTCACACAGAAGCATTCCTGTCAGGCTCTGCTTTCAGGAGAACACAGGCCCCAGCCCTCAGAAACCTCAAGAGATATCACACTTGGCTTCTGAAAATGAACCCAACAGAGCACAGCAATGAGAGTTTTCTCAATCTTTGCTTGTGCTTGTGTTGAATATGAAACCAGTCAAGCATTAACTCAGGGAGGTTCTCCACACATCCAGCCCAAAGAAGGAGAAAATGATCCCTCTATCTATATGAGGGAGGCACAGCAGGTGAATTCTTTTCACCAGGTCCTATTTCATTTTGTCAATTCACTAAAACCCATCTTGTGGGAGAGCCAGTGACTCACCATGTAAAAATGGGAAGAAGAGTTTCATTGGAAGTGGGAGGTTTTGGACATTTGCTTACACGCACACATCAGGACATAAAATGAGGTGACGTGGCGTAGCTGATGTCTGAATGCCCTCAGCTTAATGTAAAGATTTTAACCAAATATAGTAAAGAGGCTTCCATTTGAGAATCTAGCTCTCTCTTTCAAAGCAGATGATGGGTAAGAATAAGGGCAGGAACTAGGCAAGTGGAGAATGGGATTAGTGTTAATATAAACCTGAGAGGTAAGACCAGACTTCTAGGGAGGAGGGAAAGAAAAACCTCACACCCCACCCACTCCCCTTCGCGTGCCAATCTGACCATAATGGCTTTCAAAGTGACATAGAAAACACCTAGTAATGTAGACATCGTCAGGGGAAAGGTTGTTTTATTTAGGTGTGAGAACTAAGATTACAAATAGTAAGAAGAGTTGTGTCTAGTTTTTAGCACCTGTCACTGATTTAAAAATCATATTTTAGGCTTAAGACTTTGTTATAACATCATTTTTTCCTAAATTAAAAAAAATGTGAAGACTAGAACAAAACAATTACTTCTGAGTCTTCTGAAAGGCTGTGATTCAAAAAATAATAAAAAAATATTTTCTTCATGCCCTCACCCCCAAAGGAGGGGCCATGAATACCTCTGACCGTCCAGCTCCTGAGCACCTTGGCACCCAGTGAGAAGCATGAACTATTCAAACCCATTCCTAGGTATCGACACAAGAGAAATGAAAACTTTAGTTCACACAAAAGCCCATACGCAAATGTTTATGCACGCTTATTCAGAATTGCCCCAAACTAGGCATGACCCAAATGCCCTTCACCTAGTGAATGGAAACAAACTATGGTACGTCCATACAACGTAACAGTGCTCCTCAATAAAGGAACAAACACAGATGTAGGCAGCAGCAGAAGAAATCTCAAATGCATTTTGCTAAGGGAAAGGAGCCAGTCTGAAAAGACTATAGGATTCCATGTATATGTCATTCTGGAAAAGGCAAAACAGAAAACAGATCCCTGGATGCCCAGGGTTGCTGGTGAGTGGAAGGAGGGGACTGATTACAAAGAGGCAAGAGGGAATTTTTGAGGATAATTGAACTGTGTGTATGTAGCTGTGGTGATAGTCACAAAACTGTATGCATTTGTCAATGCTCACAGAATTGTACCTCACTAAAAAGAGTGAATTTTACTGTGGGTAAATTATACATCAGTTAAGGGGGGGAAAAATGTCATGAGCCATGGAGTCCCCGGCCTGGGAAAGAACTTCAGCTCCTGCTGTTTCCTTTCTGTGTGATCTTGGACAAGGTTCTTAAGCTTTCTGAGCCTTGGTTTCCTCTTCTGTGCACGAGGATTTAATAGTGCCTCCCTCACAGGTTACAAGGATTCAAGGAGTAAGGTGGGGCCTGACACCCATTCAGTGTTAGGTCTTATCATGACCATCCAGCCAAGAGTCAGGGTGTCAGGCCCCTCCCCAGGTGGTCTTGCTAGCTCAGGGCCCACGCTCCACCACCCCAGGCCTCCTGCCACCCACCCGCTGCCCAGCCTGGATTCCTGGCGAGAAACTAATGCCATCCCTTGAGAACTCTGGGAAGCAATCTGCACTGGGTTAGAGCTTGGTGTTCCTGAAACCTGGCTTTGGGTTCCAACCAATAAACTGGCATCTCTAGGAGTTTTTAAATCTTTCCTGTGGCCACTCACTGTGCCCCTCAGCCGAGCCAGTGAGCTCATAAATGCCACACCAGGTGAAAGTCGCATGCTCATTCTCCCGTGCTCCTGTAGGGCTGTGATCTATCCATTCTTTAATTCGTGGCACATAGTAGACAGCCAATAAAGGAATAGGATGTACAGTCCCAGGGCAGCTAGTTTCTGGACATTTTATTAGACTGTGCTAGACATTGATTGCAGGTTCCAATTTTTTTCTTTCTTTAGGTGTCTGTGTGTGTAATTCTCCTAACACTTTCTCGTGCATACTAATGAAAACCTACTCCCCAACTGAAGTGTTTTAAAGATCCCAAGCCGACTTAGGAAGTTGGGAGAGTTTTTCTTTAAGATTTTATTTACTTATTCATGAGAGACACAGAGAGAGAGGCAGAGACGCAAGCAGAGGGAGAAGCAGGCTCCCTACAAGCCCGATACAGGACTGCATCCCCAGGACCCGGGGATCACACCCTGAGCCGAAGGCAGAGGCTCAACCACTGAGCCCCCCAGGCATTCCTACATTTAGGAAGTTTTTTTGTTTTGTTTTGTTTTGTTTTGTTTTAATGATCTCTGAGGCCAACTACCTTTTTTTTTTTTAAGATTTTATTTATTTATTCATGAAAAGACACAGAGGAGATAGAGAGCCAGAGACACAGGCAGAGGGAGAAGCAGGCTCCATGAAGGGAGCCTGATGTGGGACTTTATCCCAGGACTCCAGGATCACACCCTGGGCCAAAGGCAGGCACTAAACCACCAAGCCACCCAAGGATTCCCCAGTTAGGAAGTTTTATGGAACATTCCATTCATTATATTAAGTAACAAGATAAATCCCCTCCTAACAGATTTTCATTGATTAGGAGGAAGTCCTTGGCATGAACTGTATGTGTACCTTGGGCAGGATTTAATTAGGTTCTAGGTTCTAGGGAGAGTCACACCACTCCTTACCACCTTCTACGCCTGAGTCCGCACAGTGTCACCACAAAGACACCTCACCCACGGGGGCCTTAGTTTTCTCCCTTGTAATTGTTAAGGCCACTTCAGAGTCATTCCAGAACCAACAGCCTCCAACTTAGAGGTTGTATTCCCATCGGTGGGAGCAGAGACATTTTATTGGAACTGAGGGCGACGGGCCGATGAGGAGAATGACGGAGCTGACCTGAAGAAGAGGAACAAGTGAAAAGGAATGTCGCAATAGTGGCGGCTAATTGGCAAGTTTCTATTTTTTTGCTTTGAAACTTCTTATGATGGAATGAAAGATGCTCAGCCCCTCAAATGGAGCAGACAAATGGAGAGCGGGTACCCGAGGGCTTCAGCTGAGATTTGTAATGTTTTATTCTTTAAAATTGAATACAATTCAATAGGACTATGTGTTATATCGGGGTGTTAGGAGTTCATATCTGTGAGTTATAATGTACTCTGCATTTTTTCGTGTGTTTTAAATATTTCTTGGTAATTTTTTTCAAGACACACTTCCTTCCTATAAGTAACAAAAACTGTGGCGTGAGGGATTTTTTTGTTTTTGATTGCAG